TATGACATCACTCCTCTCAGTCGTAAGGGGAGACCAATGACAGTTCATCTCCACGACATCTGTCCACACAGTAAGAGGAGACTGTGATAGTTCACCATCATAGCATCTGTCCAACTACTACAAAATGAGACTTTGGGCCAATTGCTCATCACCCCTTGCAAATGGAATCCTATGATGAATCCTAAGATGATATCTATCACCCACTACCAAACAGAGACTTGTTTTTCCAGAGGCATCTCTCCGCCCAGTAGCTAATGGAGACCTAGAACTGCTCATCACAATCACATCTCTCTACCCAGTACCCATCAGAAACCTAACACACTTCTTCCATGTTCCAAAACTGACGGATATAAGCCATATGACTTAAAAAATAGCAGGAAGCTAGACCTCTCAAAGTATGGTTTCTTTTTCTTGTGTGACCTTATTGGCCTATTAAATTAAGCTATTTCAGTCTGTTTCAGCAACAGCTTCATGGAGCTAGCCCCCCCAAATTCCTTCTGTACTTTGTAATTATTATTTGTAGGGGGTATTGAGGTATATGTATTGCATTGGATTCCTCTAATAGCCGTACATCAGGGTGTGAGTTTGGAAACTACACCCAGTTGATGGAAACAACATCCCTGAATCTTGACCTTTTTTTTCTTTGAAGGTAACACATGATTTTTTTTTTTATTTACAATTAAAAAATTCCTGACAGATGACTCAGTTTGCTTCATCACATCATATTTGGTTTTACCGTTACAGTTCTGAATCCTCGAATTTTAATATAATTTGTCACAGACCAGTGTTGTAGTCGAGTACTTTCCGAGTACCAACGTTCTCCGCAAAATACTGAACTAGGTAAGAGGGAATAAAACCAGAGTGCACAGGCATTTGATGGTAAATATGCAAAGGTAAGATTACAAAATAAATGTTAGACTTCAGACACTCCAGAAAAGTACTCAGATAGTACTTGGCCGAGTACTTTCCAAGTACTTTTGTCCTAAAAAGTTAATTTTAATCAAACAGTGATGGTCTGAAGTCATTATGTTGTTTTGTAATCTTATCTTTTTGCATGTACCATTAAATGCCGATGTACTTCAGCTTTGTTCCCTCCTAACTAGTTAAATATTTGGTAGAGAGCTTGGTTCTCAAAAAGTACTGGACTACATCACTGTCACAGACCTTAGATGTTAAGCATTTACAGAATGCCCTGTTTTCCTTAACCTTGACTGTCAAGGAAAATTGAGTATTTTGTAAAGTGCTCCTTCTTTCCCTTGGTATTCATGAAATATTTTATTAACCCTAACACTCCTCAGTCCTCCAACAGGTGAAGGATTGAGGAGGGTTAGGGTTAAGCTGGAATGTAAAATGAAACTTGTTCTTTCTAAAAAGTATTATCAATTTGGAAAGAGTTCCATATCTGGACATCACTTGCTGAATTTGACTTTTTAAGATGGCCGATGTACAACTGCAAATTTGTGATTTTCGTTTGTGGAATTCTTATCCCCAATTGTAAGGATTTTGGGGCAATGAATTTTTGTCATGACTTTGATGAGTTTGTGTACACCCAAACATAAGGTGAAGGGAACTGTACGTTTTTAAAAAATGTTTGAAATGACATTATTTAGAAATTCCTTTTTTTCCTGTCTGTTACTTTCTGGGAGGGGAGGGGGTCTGAAAGAGTACTTTTTGCATGCTCATGAAAATGATGAAAGAATGGATGCCTCATGGTAGATGAAAGTAAAGTTGAGCAGACATAATCAGAGCACTGGTAATACAAAGTCGTATTTAAAACAAGGGACATTTGTGACCAGGCATGCCAAAATGAGCGTAAAGTCTCTTTCCCCTCTTTCCTATTTGACGGTTCATTACTGAAGTGGAGGTCAGTTTTGGGGGTTTGTAATATTTGGGAAGATTAATCTGTCTCCCATTCAATTCTTCATATCGCAGAATCATATATCTCAAAATATAATTTTCTCAGCAACTTTGATGGCAGCATTATTCATGCCTGGTCAGAAATGTTGAAAAAATGTCGGAAACTAAGACACCAAGCTGGGAGAATTTCACATCATTACCATGTACTTTTACCAGATCACATTCTAGTTCCTGAAATCTTTGTTTCCAGATACTAATAATACAGGGTCCCTGTTATAACAAGGTAATTTGTGTAGTCCTAACGACCTCGTTATAAAGGTGTTCAATCAGTAGAATGTGTCGTTAACTACTCTGTCCATTTTTGATTGTGGGAAGGGGGTGTTAGAGAATTGGGCAATTTGAATCACATGTCATTTTTCTGAATTCAAATAAGATACTTATAGACTTAACTGATTTAATACAAAACAAAGTGAAGCCATTTCACCTTTATGGGGTTTTGGTTTTGTTTAACAGTTTGGGGAGGGATCTTGACTATTCAACTTTTTTGTTTTTCCTCTAGCTTGACTCTGTTGAAGTAAGAGTTTGGTGACGGTAAATGCATGTCATTTGGGGGAGGGAGTTTTGTAAATTTCAGTGATTAATCAAATGTCTTTTTCTGACACTGATGATGAGTGAGGTACATGTAGACGTCATATAATTTGACTGTAACAAGGAGTTGTTTTTTCCTTTTTTTGGGTAGGGATGTCTTATCTCGTGCCATTTTTAATTTGTGTATAGAAAATTCAGCCTTTTGTATTTTTTCCAGTTTATCTTTATAAGAGAATGTTGGAAGGTAAATGCATGTCACTTGCTGTATCCCTGGAATGGCCTCACATCAGGGTGTCAGTTGGGAACAAGACCTGACTGACGGATACAGTTTGAATGCATCTTTACCCAATTCTGTGAGAGGGGCTTGATGCAAATTTCTTAATACTTTTTAATTTGGATAGAAAAAGTGAGAGTGAACTCGGTGTTTAAAATATTTGTATCAAATTGATGAATGTTCAATAGTTTGATGGTTAAAGGGGAAAATACATGTAATTGATTTGGCCCTTTCTATAATATAAGCCGGCCCTAAATTTCTCCAGGAAATAATGGAAAAGGATTTGGGGAATACCATTTCTAGTAATTTTTCTTTCTTTTTGTACTTTGATTACATTGGAAACTTTGTGTACACATGGCAAAAAGCAGAAGTTATTTCATCATGAGTGGTGTTCAGAGGATGAATAGTAGAATTGCGTGATATGTGACAGAAATACAATTGCATGGTTACAAGTTTGAAGTTGGTGCATAATCATGAAGATTATTTCTCTGATACAACTAAACGTTTTGGAATAGCATGATTAAAGACCAAAACAACGGCTGTTTTGAAGACATGATGTCGCTCTGTGGAAAAGATCTTGAGCCTCTGTAAACTTAAATTAATAGATTTGACAGTTTCCAAGTTGAACTTATTTTCTAAGGTGCTCATGGCACCTTGACTCTTAATGAAACTGACATTCCTTTAATGCCTCGTCTTGTCTTTCGCAGTGTCCTTTCACATACACATTGTCTTAAATATCTTCCCAAACAACTGAATTTCTAACCTCTTTCCCCAACTGGATCTAATTGGTATTGTAAAGCGATGACATAATGATCCTTAATACAGTTGGCAGTCATTTGTAATAACTTCATGATGACCGTGCGGTTCATTCAAGGCAGGGTACAGGAATAAATATATTAACTCCAGTGTACAGGTTGATACGTGAAAGTAATCTGTTTGGAATTTGAAAGTTGTGTGTTACGTGAATAAGTGAAGGATAGAGAAAGGAGAGTATTTTCAGACTTCAAACAAGTCATAAATGCACATGGCTTGAGGAGCACTCTTTCTCCATGGTTGTTTCTCTTTAAATGCAACCAAAACATGACCTCCACAAATATTTGACAAATAGTGAGATGATTTGCTTGTGAATAGAAAAGTAAGATATGTTGGCACACTTAACCTCATCCATGCTTTACTTCAACCTCCGAAACACATTTGCACAGACCCCTTGATAATTAAAACAGTTTGTTCCTGTACCCTGCCTAAAAGCAAAGCAGTATTTCAGGAAATTAATAAATTTTGTTTTCTCTTTCTATATTTCAGAAACTTCTGATTGAGAGAAGCAAGAAACAATTTGAGTGGAGTACAGACACAAAGGGGTCCAAGATGGCACCACTGATGTCCAAGGGATTGGCTGCCTACCTGCTTCAATTCTCACCTTCAAGACTGGATGCACTCACCTTAGAGAAGGGCAAATCCATGGCAACGGCTGTATTAGCAAGTCTGGGTTTTTTATAATGAACACTTTTCGACTGAAAGTATTCACATGGAAGCGTTGTATTAAACTAGGGTTAGTAAACCAACCATTCAAATCCAGTCAGTGATTGAATCCATTTGTTGCCATGGATTTGCTTTACAAAAAACGAACTGTTTTGCCGAAAGTTGGTTTTGGACCAGGCACATGTAGTTTTATGCCATAAAAAAATGGCAAAATCCATCTTCCTCACATTGACCAAATTTATGGTTATCTAAAAAGCTCTCTATCTCCATTTAGTTGAGATGCCTGGGACTTTTTGGATCAAAATTAATCTGATTTCCTTGACAGGTATTTTAACAGGTATTTGATAATTCCAACATGTGCCTGGTTCAGTTCTTTTTTTTCTGAAAAGGTTATATTTAACGAAGTATTAGAAATACTTGTATACTGTGTGTAAATGAAATTGGAATCTACACCAGCACATCATATTATATATTTTTTTTCTTTAGCGAGGAAAAGTACCGATGAAATTCAATTGTTGAAGTTGTACACATGAAATGCATTACATTTGCCGCAATAAAGTGCTTGGTTACATTCATCGTAAATAGTGAAGTTAAATACTGTCACAGAGTTAAATACAGTCGCAATGTGAAGTTTAATTTGTTTGGTGTAAAAAAGCAATGTGCATTATAGACTTCAAGAGGTCCTTTGAAACCAAAGCCCTCCCCCTTGACACTTCTGTAATTGATTGTAATTTAGCTCCGCATTTTAATGTGTCAAGACCTTTTTTCCCGACTTTTCTGAAACTTCTAAGATATCTATCATTAAATTTCTTCAGGCTCCTTGACAGCTTTTTTGGTACGTTTAAACGTTGCGGACAATTTTTTTACTATCATACATGTATGATGTGCTGGTGTAGATTGTCCTTGTGTTAATTGCTGAATTAAAAATATGTGTTTTATGGCGTGTGTTTTGTGGTCATTGTGCCTGCTGCCTATTTTACAACTTTGCAGAGCAATTTGCCATTGTTTTTAACAGAAACAAATGAAATACAAGTGCTGTAGATCTGAAGGAACCAGCCAATTTCTTCCTATTTCATCCATCACCATGTTTAATTCAAAGATGTGCAGAAATTAGCTAAAACAGGCAGCAGGCGTGTTTGTTCAATTTGGTTTACTTATTGCTTGGAATGGGGGGACGGAGGCAAAGGAGTTTGTTTTCTCTAAATGCACACTACTGCACCACTGTTGAATGAGAGCGCCCTCAAGCTAGGTGGAGTGTGCAAGTAATCAGGTAACGTGAAAGAGCGCCCTCAATAACTTGGTTTTTGGTGCAACGTGTAAGTTATTTCAAATGCCAGTTGAAGGACTGTTGGATGAAGGGCGCCCTCAATCTCATGTTGGAGTTTTTCTCTGAATGCACACTACTGCACCACTGTTGGATGAGAGCGCCCTCAAGCTAGGTGGAGTGTGCATGTTAAAGTAATCAGGTAAAGTGGAAGAGCGCCCTCAATAAACTTGGTATTTTGGTGCAGCAGTTGAAGGACTCTTGGATGAAAGGGCGCCCTCAATCTCATCTTGGCAAAAAACTATTTTTTAAGAATTTTTTTAAATCAATTTTTATTTGAACTTGACTTTGAACTTGGTATTGAACTTGAACTTGGCATTGAACTTGAAAAGAGCGACCAAAAAAAAAGCACCCTAGCGCATACAAGTCCCCCCTGGTGTGGGCCACGTGTTCCCCGCCCACAGACACCAACAGGTCCAGTGAGTTGCCCACTGCATTAACTCGCAATCAGTTGTTCTTGATGTATACAAACTCTCCTGATCAAAAATGCCCAAGTTGACTGCAACATAATAAGGATCGCATTAACTCCAACAACTAGTTTACTTTCTACGTAGTAGATGTATTTGTATTTCTACAACTCCAAAACGATTGCAAATAATGGAACAATCTCACACCTATGTGCAACTGCATCACTTGGGTATTTTCAGAATGTTCCCAGTTGCATTGCAGAATTTAATCTAAATGAAATAAAACATTTTACAAGATGGTTAACGTTCTGCTGGTTTCTCTCGGACACTTTTAATATCTGCCAGACTTTAGAGCAGTAATGCTGGTGCCAAATTGTGACAAACTTTGTAAGTTTAACCCCTAAAATCCAGCCATTTGTTACACCAATATGTTCCGTCATTGTGTGTCTCCTGTCTCACAAGAAAGAGTACTGGGAATTGTATATTAATGCAGTTCTATTGACGAACGTAACTAACATATTTCAAATGAATTGGATGACCTCAGTTGTAATTTTGACTAGCCTTGTTTTAAGGCCAAGTAACTCAATATTGGGTGTGTTTATAGACAGTGATAAAATGCATCAAATCTAAGTTTTCTCAAATTGTTTTCTGGGGAAAAAAAAGTTTTGTACTTTCTCAAAAAAAAACAAGTGGTTTTTTACTTGGTACACATGCTGTTCATATAAAGCACTGCCGTTTTCAATGTCTGAAGTATATGAATGTGAGAAGTTCTGATATGGAAACAATTCACTGACTAGTGTAACGTATACAAGATTTCTCAAACTTTTTCAATGTCTCAATGCAAGGCATTTAGTTTTCAGGGTTTGTTGTATTTTGAACAAATTTAAAGAAAACATCTTCAGGTTCTCAAGAATTCTGAATTTTCAAAAACTCCACAAGGCAATAAGCATTGTTAAATAACGTTTCTACTTTCTGATCCGAGTTTGCACTTGTAGCTCTTTCTCATCGCACTGACATGAGCCCTTTCGATTTCAAAAACACTGCTGAAAGGCCACAGCAGCCAACTTTTACTTTGCACATGATCTTGCCTGCGGCACAAGCACTTTGTTCCAAAGCTTCCCAACTGACAGGCAGAGTTTTTTCTTTACACCATTGCCAAACTCTCTACTTCTAGACAGAAGTATTTTTTGCTTGATAGAAAACATGTCAGCACTGGCAAACAGTTCTTTGAGAATCGTCTGATTTTACGTTTTCAACATGTTGGATGGCACAGCCACCACAACTTGTTTTCCTTTGCCCAATTTTTTGTTCCTTTTTTTTTCAGCTGAAGTCCCAATGTGCCCTCTTGAATATCCATGTTCCTCTGAGCCTTGATGGACGATGTGGTAGCAATCTGCCTGTCGGTATCTGTAGAAACTATGGCATCTGATGACACGGGGTTAGCCTGTCCCGTACTCCATGCTAAATTTAATTGAAGTTTTCATTAATTAATGCACTTTACAATTTCATCCTCATGTATTGCTCTCATAAACCCTTACAATCTCATGGCAGTTTGGTGTACACTGGTCTACATAATCACAGATATTGTACATGCTCACATGCTAACCTAAACAGGGTCCAGAAAAATCCACAACTGCCGCCACAGTAAGCCAGGGAAAGCCAACAAAAAGAAAAAAAATTACATGACGTAAACCAGTCATTGTTTCATTGTTACCAGCACTGCTGTAAGTATGGACTGATCTTAATTCGGTCATTCAGCTTCAACTATCTAACATTTTCAAAATGTTGGTCAGTCTAAGCAGTGAGTAAAAGTATTGTCAAGTAATGAACTGTTGCCAAAAAACAAATACAAAAAGGAATAGCTCCCTTATCTTCTTGTGTTAAACTCGCCATACAAGGCGAGCGCCATACAAGGTGGTGTCATAACACCGATAAAAATAACTAAAAAGTCAGTACTGTTGGTGTTTGGATGAGGTGTTTGGCCAGGGCATTTGGCTGTATTTTTTATGGAATGATGCAATTTTTTCACTTGAAATTGAACTATTTTTGCCAAAGAACACCACCATCACCGGCGAGTGTCGCAACTCTTGTGTGTCAAAAGTGATGGATGTATCATCAAGGCTCCCAAAGGCTTCTATTTTTAGGGAACAACTTGCAAAACAATGAAAAAGGATGGATGGTAAACCATGGGCTAACATGCAACATCTGGACCAAAAGTCGGAAAGTGTTTTCTTGGAGGCACACTGTACAGCAGAAACAGAAGACACTGGCCATCTTTTCTAAGCTTTTTTGGTACGCACTCAAATGCAACCGATTTCTTGCTCACACAAATCACGTTCAGGAAAATACTCCAACTGAAGTCACATTTACTGACCGATCTGTTTCTTCCCTTTTTTTGACAACTTAGTGCATATTTGTTGTCAAACGTCTGCAATTGTGGATTTTCCTGGTGCCTGCTTAAGTTACTTTATTTTTGCAATTGATCTAAATTCAAGTGAACTGCATTTTTGATGGGAGATTAATTCCCAAGAACAAGAAAAACCATCCTCTGTAGAAAATGGAACAGCTGAACAAGCAAACCCTACCCTACATAAATTCTAAATTGGCCGATATGTTCAGGACCAACTAAATACTGAGAAATTCATGGCTCATTTATCATCAAATTTCATCAATGATTTCAGCAATTTGTGTCTATAGCCAATACATTTCTAGAATGATTTCAGCATTTTGTGTCTATAGCCAATACATTTCTAGAAACTCCTGTACGAAAGAATACTTTGTAATACATAAATGTACATGTACCTCAAAAAACTTCTGTACAGAGCAATGCTATACATTCTTGTTCCCTTTCTTAAAAATTGATTTAATTCTAGTACATTTTTTAGCAAAAAAAGATTTATCCTGGTAATGATTTGTTGAAGACGGTTCGGTGTTTAGACAGAAAATGATACTAAGTGTCCTACGATGCACACAGCCTTCTGTGTTCAAGATTTTTATTTGAAGAGCAAACTGGGACATTAATTTACATGAAGCTGTTCACACATGCATTTTGATTTGCATTACAGGGACTACTCTCTGCCATGCAACTCGCCGTCTGTTAAAATTACCTCCGACTAGTCATGTCATTTAAAAAAGATTGTCATTCTACAAGGGTAGCAGGTGCTTTTTTTTATAGTTTTATTCCCTATGAAATTTATTTGACAAGACTAGTGTGAGGGATGACCCCCAGCAGAGTAAGTCTCTGTACTATGTTACTTCCATTTTTTTTTCTTTTTCAATTTTTTTCAATTTTCCAGGCTCCAGAAAATCAGATATCTTCCTTTTGACAACGCACTACCTATTACATTAAAGATGTTGGCAACTTGGTTAATTAATGAGTGTAGAGGGATGCAATAAGAATACATGTACCTAATTGGAGCAAAACGCGTGATTGTCAAGATGAAAGATGCTGAACTTGGTTAGTTACAAAAGTGCTCTTGTAGTCCTCCGTAAATTTTCCTTTTAAAACACACTTTGGTTAATTTCCTATCAATAGTATCATTTCATTAACATCCTATTACGTAATTAATGCCCCATCTACAGAGGATGGTAATATTTGTGTTTAACCTTAGAAATAAGACAGAATCAGTGTCTTACGAACATTTTTTTCCCTTGCACATTAATGCTAAATGAAGATTTAATGCATGGAGCATGACAGTCTTCAGTCCAAGGCAATACCAGGAGCATTTATTTCGTTCCTCTACTGTCCCTGCAGTTTTTCATTGTAATTCCAAATTGTTGCCATCAGAAATTGTCAATGGAAACAGCAGCAAGTGAAAGCCAACCAGAACGGTTTCACAAAGAGAAAAGGTTTTGGAAGGATGTTTATTTTGGGCATCGACAAAATTCCACTGAAATGGAACTGTCAAGGAAATTCCCAGTCCTTTCAAAAGGCGATAACTTTCTTCATTCTTCATTCATGTATTCCTGCACTAGATATTTGGCACAGGGTGTGTCAGACAAAACTGAAAATCATCCCAGACATCTTCCATGTATGCTCTCTTCTGGTAATGCTGAAGCACCTTTTGATGGTGTTGGAGAGCAACTATTCGTCACTTAGCATGCAGTATGAGATGTGCCTTCTTTTGTAAAAGCAGTTTAAAAGGTCACAAAGTCACACCAGATTCTTTTTCTACACACCATGGCAGATTTGGATCTTCCAACTGCACCAGGACACAAGAGTACTTTAATACTGGTGTAAAGACCACAGGAGAATGCAACAGCACTAGTACAACCACGGTTACATGTGTCCTACATTAAGGCTCAGGACCAATTGAGTAGAACTGTTCATTTTCAATATGTTAGAGGTTTCCCCCAAAAAATACTGCTATCTTGGGTTCATACAACAATGAACACAATTCTAAACGTTGCACGAAGTCCAACAATTTTTGGGACAGTAGGGTTTTATTCTTGCTGAAACAACTTGTATGCTTTCTTCAAGATGGATTTCAGGGAGTATTTAACTTGATCAAGGCATTGACAAGTCCCTGTCTGTGTACTCGTATTCAATTATAAGAATGTTGACAAGGGAGAGTATCACTAGTTTAGATGACTGAGGTGAAGGAGAATATAAGAGTGGCTGTCCAATGGGATGGAGTTGGCACAGAGTTGAACCACTGAAAAGGTTGTCATGGTTATATAAGAACCCGATACTGTGCATTCTTCACTTCAAATGATTTCACAGTATTTCAGGTGGGAAGCACAAATGCCTGCTTTTACTGTACTGCTTGAGGACAAAGTTTCACTTGATGTCCAAGAGCACAATTTGCATTTTTTGCAGCCCAGTGAGAATCAG